TTCTGTGGTTTAGTGTATACTGTGGAACAATATAGGAAAGCTAGACTATAATTAGAAGAAAATACACTCAAATAAATACAAGCTGCTGAAATAACGTTTTTAAGATCAAATGCAATAACTATGACCGAGGACAATGGATTTCAATGGTTTCTACAATATTGCCATTAAATTATATAAGGAAAGGTCTTTGTTTTAAAAAAAGGAAAAAAGATAAATCCTTAAAATATAATTCACAATTTTTTAAAAATGTTAAATCTTAGACTCATGGGGTCCATGTGAGAATTTGTTACACAGGTATATTCTATGAAGACAAATGTGGGCTTCTGACAAGCCCTCCTCCACAGTAGTGAGCATGGTACCCAATGTGTGGATATGTATTCTTCATCCCCCCTCTCTCCATCCCTCCATTAGAAGTGTCCAGTGTCTGTTGTTCTCATCCTTGTGCCTGAGTGTGCCCAGTGTGTCATGTTTACTTATGAGTGAGAACATGTGGCATTCAGTTTTTCATTTCTGTGATAGTTCACATAGTATGATGGTCTCCAGCTGCATCCATGTTGCTTCAAGAGACATGATTTTGTTCTTTATGACTGTGTAGCATGCCATAATGTATATGTATCACATTTTCTTTATCCAGTTCAACTTCGATGGGCATCCGCTTTGGTTCCATATTTTTGCTATTGTGAATAGTGCTGCAATAAACATACAAGTGAAGGTGTCTTTTGGTAGAGGAATTTGTGTTCCTTTGGATATGTTACCAGAAGTGGGACTGCTGGGTCGAATGGTAGCTCTAATTTTAGTTCTTTGAGAAATCTCCAAACTGCTTTCCACAGTGATTGAACTAGCTTATATTCCCACCAATAGTGTACAAGTGTTCTCTTTTCTCTACAGCTTCGTCAACACCTGTTGTTTTCTGACTTTTTAATAATAGCAATACGGACTGGTATGAGATGGTATCTCACTATAGTTTTGATTTGCATTTCTCTGATGATTAGTCATGCTGAACATTCTTTCATGTTTGTTGGCTGCTTATATGTCTTCCTTGAGAAGTGTTTGTGCATGTCCTTTGCCCACTGTTTAATAAGGATTTTTTTCTGTCAACTTGTGTTCTTTATAGACCCTGGATATTAGGCCTGTGTTGGATGCATACTTTGTGAATATTTTCTCCAATTCTGTGTGTTATCTCTTTACTCTCTTAATGGCTTCTTTTGCTTTTTACCTTGATAAGGTCTCATCTGTCAATTTTGGGTTTTGCTGTATTTACTTTTGAGATCTTGGCCATGAATTCGTTGCCTGGGCAGATGTCTAGGAGAGTGTTTGCTATGTTTTTTCTAAGCTTCTTATAATTTGAGCTTTCACTTTAAGTCCTTGACCCATTTTGAGTTAATTTTTTATATATGGTAATAGGTAGTGTTCAATTTCATACTTCTGTGTGGTTAGCCAGTTTTCCCAGTACCATTTGCTAAATTAGATTTCCCTTCCCCAATGTTTGTTTTTATCAATTTTGTCAAAGACAGGTTGGTTGGAGTTCTGTCATTTTATTTCCAGGTTATCTGTCCTATTCCATTAGTCTATGTGCATATTTTTGTATCAGTACTATGCTGTTTTAGGTACTGTAGCCTTGTAGTAAAGTTTGAAGTCTGGAATTGTGAAATCACAAGCTTCTTTTTGCTGCTGATTTTTCTTTAGCTATTTGGGCTCTTTTATGATTTCATATGAATTTAAATATTGTCTTTTCTAGGTCTGTGAAGATTGCTCCTGGTAGTTTGATAGGAATTGGGTTGGATACATAGATTTCTTAGGTAGTTTAGAGATCTTGATGATATTGATTCTTCCAATCCATGAGCATGGAATGTTCTTCCATGTCTTTGTGTCTTTGATTTCTTTGAGCAGTGTTTTGAGTTCTTATTGTAAACATCTCTCATCTCTTTCATTAGATGAATACCAAGGTATTTTAGTGTGTGTTTGTGGCTACTGTGAATGGGATTGTGTTTTTTATTTGATTCTTAATTTGGTTCTTAGCCTGTTGGTGCATAGAAATACAACTGATTTTTGTGCATTGATTTTGTATTCTGAGACTTCACTGAAGTTGTTGATCAATGGCAGGAGTTTTTTGTTTGTTTTGTTTTGTTTTTGGCAGAATCTCTAGGGTTTTCCAGGTATAAAATCATATCATCTTCCTGATTGCTCTGGCTAGCACTGCTTCACCAGCACAGTCTGGTGCGGCTGGGGAAAGACTTTCTTACAGATCAGGTACTTTCCCCTTCCTCCGGCACAAGCACCCGGGCCCTGGCTGGCCAGGAGCTCAGGTGCCTCCCTCCCCAGCCTGCACGTTTGATCAGCATCAGATCAGCAAAGTTGGCAGGTGGCCAGAAGGGGCCCCATGGCACAACTCTGGCACAGATGTTCAGGTAGACACAGGTGAGTAGGTTCACCCATCGAAGTGAGTCTACTCCTCTTGCTTTGGGGTAGAAAGCTGTTTTGCTGGAGGAGACCTGGCCTTTCTCCCTCAGATAGTAAGTGGGCTGGGTTGTAGCTGCTGCGCTACCTGTGTCTGGGTGAAGTCCCGCTGCTCAACAGCCAAGATGGAACTTGCAGTCTTGCTTCGCCTGGGCACTGGAGGCGAGGGGTGGGGGTGGGATTCTGATTTGCCAGGAGTCACACCTTGTCCCGTGGGAGGGGAAAGGGAAGTGATGGCGACCTCCTGAGGGTAAGCCGAAGTTTGCAACCCTGAACTGGGATAGGACAGGTCCAGGTGTTATTGGATAAACGTCCCCCAAGTGAGAACATTGACCTGGATGAGCCCGGAAAGGGAAGGAGGTGGGAAGCGCCCATGAGGTGCAGATCTGTGTGTCCCCCAGGGCCTCTCTGTGGGGGAGTTGGTGGCTGCTGGCGCCAGGACTCACAGGGAGCTGGGATCCTCTGGGCCCCATACCTCTGCCCTGATGCCGGGCAGCTTTCTGCACTTAGCTAGTGCAGAAGTGGGTACGGGAATTCGGGAAGCATGGAGTTGGCTCTCCCTCAGCTAAGTCTGCGGAGGGTTCGAGGGAGTTTTGCAAAAAATATCCTGTTCAGTCACTGCTTCCTTCACCAAGGCACTCTCCTGATCTTGCATCGGGGCAGATTCTGGAGGTGGTTGGGGCTTGGAGGGTACCACTCTGTGTTCCCAGGTGTCTGTCCATCTGACAAACCTCAGCTTGGGTTTCCTGGCAGGCCTACAAAGAGTTGGCTTCTTTTAGACTGAAGACCTTTAGAGTCCCTTTTAGACTGTCATTGAGAGTGACAGTCATCCAATATCTCCAGTCGGTGATCTTTGGCCACCCCCACAATTTAAAGTATTTTGAACTTGACCGCCCTTAAGTGTTACACTAGTTTTGTGTTACTTGGTGTGGCTCTAGTCAAAGCTTTTCAAATTTTCTTGTGGGCCTAACACACATGTATGCAATTTCAGACTAGAAGGAAAATATACATCTTGCTTTCAGAGAAATTATCTTATACATTTTAATAATTTAATAAATTTTTAATTATTTCAAAAATAATGTTATTAATTTTAAGTGCTTAATTTTGATTTTTTTTTTCTTGTTAGTGCTCTTCAGAATCTATAAGTGTGGGGAAATGCAATTTTTTACAGTTCGTGGTCTAGGGCTGAGAGTATTGCTGAGTTTGGGTTGGGGACCAAAGAAAGGAAAACATAGCTTAAGTCCAGTATTCATCACCTATTTAACATTCTTCTACCAAGTGCCACTAGAAACCAAACACAATTCTAAATTTGAGAATATTCGAGAATACATAGATGATCTCATGTTTTGAATTCCTAGTGGTCATATTTCTATCAAGTAATGGCAGGACATAAAGACAAATGAAGAGAATTATGTACAAAGTGTGATGTGATTACATCCCTGACTGAGATGGGTTATATCTGACAAGAACTTCTGATACAGGTAGCAGAGAAAGGATGTTTCAGATCTTAGCAAGATGGGAAAATATACACCAATATACCAAAAGAACAAAAATTTTATGTGGAAACATCAATTTCTCATCTATCTACACTATTCCAATTTTATTTTTTCTTAGTTACTATTCATTTACAAAGCCCAGTGAGAGCTTCTTGATAATGCGCTCCTAACTCTCAAATGTTTTCCAAATGTAAGACCTGGTCTTGTGGTTTATAAATAGAATAATTGGAAAAATTGGCTAGAAAATTGTGAATAGATGTCCAACTTCATTTTGTAATTATATATATTTAATATCATATTTCAATAACTCAATAAAATTATTGATTGAATTATATGTTATGAGGCACAAAGAAAACTATGTATGTAATTTGAATATTAACTATAAAGTGAATTTTGATGCAGTGATATTACAGGATAGGAAATATTACTATTAGAATCTATAAAATGCAGAGTAGCTAAAGTTTCACAATTGAGTAATGCTTTATAAGTACCCTGTGATGTAGCAAGTATGCATGCTGTTGTCTGCATTGCAGATAAAGCATGAGAGTCATTCAGTCCACAAATATCTACTAAGCATCCAGCAGGTGCCAGGTATAATGCCAAGTCTTCAACCAGCAGCAATGAACAAAGCAAACATTCCCCCCCTCT